TCTGAATCTGAATCTGACATGGCTTGTGGAGAGAGAGCGTAGAGGAGAGTAGGAGGGTTTCTTAAAGTGGTTCTCACCCCCTCTCCTCGAGGCCTACGTCACTCACATTTCCTTTTCAAAACTTCCTCCAAATGGGCGTGGCCTGGAGGACTGAAGGGGACAGGCGGGGGGATGAATGTTGGGCGGGTCTAAGCTGTGATTGACACTTGACGCCGCTAGCACCGCTACCTATGCTAGCTCTGCAGCAGAGCGGCTCAGCTTGCGAGCTAGCGGGCACCAGCGAGGGAGCTGCAGAGGCAGCGGAGGCAGCAGGCCATTTATGTAGCCTCTCCATATTCCCATACAGTAACCCCTTATGTTGCGGTGCTTTGCTTGACAGTTTTGTCTGTACATTTTCTTTATGAACCCAGACCAAGAAACTATATGTTGTGGGGTCATTCTAAACTCTGCCACAATAACCTCCTTGTCCCCAAGAGAAAACTTGTGCTGCATGGAAAACCCCGAAGGCATTTTGGATAGAAATGATACCCCAATGTGCACAAAAGAGACAGAAATTTAACACACTCTCAAACATAAAGTAATTTTTATTGTACAAAAGTACAATAAACAATATACAATGAAATTGCACACGATATAGAAAACTAGTAAAACCAATAAAAGTCCTAAGAATCTAACAATAAAAGCAACTAATGACAAAAACTACAATATTCAACAATACGCTATTAACACTACACAATTATCTATAATACAAACAGCTATGCTAATAAAAATCTACCTAAATGCTATAACTAATCGCAAACCTGACATCGATGAAAATACTCTGCAATTCCTTCTCCAACACGGGGGCGTGAACAAGACTGGGCCGTTCACGCTCAATGGACGGCAGGGCAACAGGCCTTTGCTGCAGACGTCAGCCTTTGCTGCAGACGTCAGCCTTTGCTGCAGACGTCAGCCTTTGCTGCTGTGCCAATGTTTGCGCCAGATTCAAATTTCAAATGTAGTAATGCAGGTCGCCTGCAGATGGCGCCTCACAGACGGTTTTAGGCAGAAAGTTGATCTTTCAACTAATTTGCTCTAAAGTGACAAAATTATGACCAAGATATGTACACAACACTATTGGACACTCATTTATACCGTTTATCAGCAAAAAAAAAAGTGGATTTGAGGGTGAGTTGTCCTTTAAAATAGAAACATTTGAGCGCTTCTGAGTGTACTTATGGGATGCATGGGCGGCTTATTCGGCACATGCGTCAATGCGTTAATTTTTGTATTGCAATGAATGATTTTTTTTTATTAACGCGCGTTACACGATAATTTTTGACAGCCCTAATTGAAATTGATCAGAAAACATCTTAAAGCAGGTGTAACAGTCAAAACCCCTGAATTCAAGCCATGTTAGATCCAGATGCATTTGTTGTAGTGTAATAAGAAACCAATTGTCCGTTTCTCCTTGAGGACTTCCCATACCTCTGTTCCAGACAGGAGTTTATGTAGTTGAGGTTGTTGATCTGCAGTTCGTACACCTCACTCCACAAAGCCTCTGTCTCTCGTTTTTTCCTCACGGAGGGCTTGTCTGCCCGAGCTCAGACAGGCCCTGTGTGGTATAACACTGCCTTTTATGTGAAGTTTTTTTGCTTTTCATTTGTTATGGATATTGCTACAGCTTTGAATTGAGCAACCTTTTTAAGCAAATTCAATTTTTTTTGTGTACCAGCGTGTGAGATATAGTGAAGAATGTGTACAATAAGTCACTTTAAATGCTCACTGTGTGAAAACCTGCACTACTATTGACACTGTTTCCAATTGACACTTGACACTTTTTTTGTTGTTGTACATTGCACATTTCTTTCTTTTGCACAATCTGAGTGTCTCTATCCATGCCAAATGTGACATGTAAATTTCTCCTTTGTGAGATAAATAAAGCACATCTTATCTTATCTTATCTTACTATAAGTGCAATAGGAGTAGTAGCAACACCTTATACGAAAAGAAAAACAGTGATGTGTTTCCACACCCCCCACTGCTTCTTTCTGCACTGAAAGTATCACAACTTCACTTTAGCAGTGCAGACATAGCTTCAGCTGCGGGGCATGTTTGTGTGGCATATTTACAATCAAACAGAGCATCCATCACTTCCACTAAAATAAATGTGGAGCTCAGAGCGGTTGATGAATGGCCTTGGGGAGAATCTAAAAGTCCCAGTGCTGTCTGTCATGTGGAATCTGTCGCACCTCCGCTTCTCAAGATCTTTGTCTGTCTTTTGTTTTGACACATCTGCTTCTTTACATTTGTTCTCTGCATGTTTGTTTATTGTACTTTTTAGTTCAGTTGATTAAGTTGTGTAAGCCCAGATTTTCCCAGTCGAACAATCTGTTATAATCATTAAGAATTCAAAACATATCCATCAAATTATATCAAATGAAGCTATAAAGAAATCATAATACTCATGTTGTTTATAACTCGTGGACTCTGTGGGAGCTGTGCTGGAGAGAAGGATGAGGGCTAATGCAGGGCATCCTGGGTAACTCCAGACAGCCTCTGCATGACACTGTGGCTGCTCAGAGGAGTAATCGAAGCAACAGTCTTCTATCACTACGCTGCCGAACGGAACGTTTCAAGAGATCCTTTGTTTTCCTCGGCTGTCAGACTGTACAACAAACCTGACTGACTGTACAACAACAAAAAAGAATCTTCTGCTGCTGGACACCTGAATTTCTCCTACGGGGGATCAATAAAGTATCTATTTATCTATCTATTTATCTAACTCGTTTATAACTTATAACACAGACACATACCCATGCCATTTCTGATATAATAAGGCTAGCTCGAACTTGTTACGTCATGAAGGGGTTATGGTGGGGGTCATACCCTGCTTATTTGTGTTTGCTTACAAAAGAGCAAAATGTCCCCTATGGGTGGAAATGTTGTAATCTGCTATGACAAATAATCACACCACTCCAAACTCGTGGAAATAGAAACGAGTCAAAAATGGGCAAAAAGTTGTGTAGTCTGTAGCCAGCATGAATGCATTACCTTGGCTTTACTTGCATTTCTTTTAGTGTGGCTGATTCAATATTGACCAATATATTGATCTGCCGATAGGACAGATGCTTAAAGAAAAATTTGATATCGCCTATCAGCCCTGACTTCTGATGGTTGATTTGCTGCCATGATATGTTATACCTCATTTTACAGCTAATCCAAAATGTAATTAGTAATAACCAATAAAAAAAAAAAACACCCAAAGACAAGAAACATGTTTTAATTAGTCATTTTCAGGATTTTTTTATTTTTATTTGTATTGGACTGATATGGACAATTTGCCATATCAGTTCTGGAAATACCCATGCTGCAGTGTGTGCTCACGTTATTTCAAATGGAAACTTGGGTCAGAACTATTACTTTTACTTAACTTATTGGATAGAGGGAAGGTTGTAGTTTGTTTATCACATATACTTTATGTAGTCAGGTGTTAGCAGGCTATTGAAAAACACAAGTCTGAGCTGTAACATGGTTCACCGACCAAACCAGTTCATTTACATGGCCTATTTGTTGGAGTGCACATTCAGCCTGTAGCCTGGGTCCAATTTGCGAGCAAACTAATCCCAGCACGTCCCCGGGGTGTTTGGCAGTCTGCTGTGCTTTATGCAAGTGTAGCCCAGGAGCAATAAGTTACCTGCGTTGTAAAATGGCTACAAATCGATCAGTCTGTGCATCTGGGATGGTTTTAGCCAAGTGTGCACTAAAAATAGTTGTGTCTCTGGATGCTTTGAAGTGATGCAGTGATTATGAGGGGCTTTATGTGTGGAGCAGGACCCCTCAGGCAGCATGTGAAGTCTTTCCCCTATAGGCGCTTTAATAATTATGTTATGGAAGACATATACGTGTTTATTTTTTGATCATCTCACGTCTTCTTCTCCACCGCAAACTGATCTTGTGGTGATACGGCAGATTTTTTAATGCGTGATGCGTTTCCTGATAGGGGGGGTGTCAAGGATAATTTAAGTAGAGATAAGAGAAGCTTTATTTCCCTTGTGTGTTGCAATGCAAAGTTCAAGAGCGGCAAAGATTTATAATATGCAATTCAAAATCAAATCCTACCCAATATTAACCCAAAACAAAAGAAATCCTCAGCTTTACATACCCTGCAGCATTGTAACTGTTGATCAATCATCAATGGTCAGATAAAAGGTGCTTTAAATATGGCTTAAAAGTTTGGAGAAATTTTTATATTGACATTTGTATATATTGGCAGACAAGAAAAATTTGCAACTCCCATCAGAAAGAAGCGATAGTACTAATCACTCACCCCCTGTGTTGTGATCACCTCCAAAGTATTGGTCTTTAGTTACCCATTTGCTAGCCTGGCCTTAGCCATCCGTACACTCCGTTCAATCATCATTTCCCTGCATGTAACGTCTGGGTCTGGTCCCCATGTTAGCGATTACATTCGGTTGAATTTTGACCAACCATTCATAGAGCGCGGAAGGAAGGTGTTGTAGTTAGTTGTGGGTGATGTCAAGAGTTTGTGTCGAACGGGAAGGTTGTGGTTTAGCAATGATAAAAAATGCGATAGTAATGTAATCCGGTCTGGTTCTGTCAAGAAATTTAAGCCGGAGCAAGAGGAATATTTAGCAATGTAATCGCTGGAAAAATTGTGGCACTACTCCCCACGGGCCCCGTTAGCGGGAAAGGAGATGGCTAGGCAAAATGCTAACGACAGACTCGGGCGCATTACATACGTCAAAGTAAACTCAGATCCAGTTGTTTCAATCTGCAATCTGTAAACGGAGCTCAATGGAGCGCCTCGAGACCTTAGTTGTACAGTACGTAATGTTATTTGTACTATGGTGTGGTACGACCAGGCTACCCATTTGCTAGTGTTACTCATAACATTAAAAAAAAGAGATAATAAAAAAATATGTAATGTAACAAACTTTTCTCTTCTCTGGTCTCTTGCCAGGTGAGCTGTTGTTATTTTGTCATTCTGCTTTTGTCAGGCGGAGTTCCAATTTGACGTGGGGCCTCTCCTGGAGCAGGTAGGCACCAGGAAAGAGTCTCTGAACTTCATGAAGAGAAGGATCCGGATGTTAGCAGCTCAGTGGGCCTCAGCTTCCAGGCGTCTGCATGACAAGCTGCGCAAACACTGGAGAGCAAGAAAGAGGGTGAGTCACAAACATTTGACATGTAATCTATTGCAGGAGAAGTTTGGCCCCATACTTCCCTTACCCAACATTCCCTACAACTCATCATCATTCAAGTACAGTACTTTCTAGCTTATTTTAATGTAACACTTAACCAACGGTTGATGAAGCAAAACAAAGCCGACTGTTTTAACTGGACACGACACAATCTTCTTGGCCTGTAAGAAGGACAGAGTGGCATTGGCAATGAAACAATGAAGCAAGGAATATCAGGCTGGAAGTCTTTAATGCATGGAGTGTGGCAATAAAACAAATATTTGAAACTCGACGAGACCAGGGGCTCTTCCTCTTTTTGACCTTGTCGCTCAATTTTTATTTTTAAATTTTGCTCAGGTCTATTGAACATTACACTGTATATGTTTGGTTAACCTCACTCTCGGTTTTATTTGTGTTCAATAATAACAAAGAAAAGAAGGAGAAAACACCTCAAATATAACGGTATCATATCTGGGCCTCTATTGCACTGGTGCTCAGGGCCTGCTCCTGTGCAGCCATGGTGAGTGCCTCTGTGATGTCCTGTAGGCCAGCCCTTTCTAGCCATTGGTAGAACCTCTTGAGATCAGCCACAATTGCAATGTTCTGGTGGTACATGCCATGTAAGGGTTTGTCCTCCCAACAAAAACCGCTCACCTTTCTCCCTCCGCGGGCAGTTATGTTATCCATCTCTAAGCTTGGGTCCTCTTCCGGAGGCCTGGGAGCTTGAGGGTTCTGTCACATTTACCCTCCAGGCCCTCTCCAGCTCCTCTCTTTGCCCTTGACTCAGCCCTTATCTCTCTAGTTTTTTGTGTTCTTTTTTCCTGATGTTACCATCGCTGAAAATTGCCACGTCCACCACAACAGTTTTACTCTCCCCTTTGTCTACCACCACGATATCAGGTTGGTTTGCCAATACCATTTGGTTGGTCTGTATCTGGAAGTCCCATAAGGTCTTTGCACGCTCTTTCTCCACCTGCTTTGGAGGAGTTTCCCAATTAGGCGGCACGGTGGCTGAGTGGATAGCACTCTCGCCTCTCAGCAAGAAGGTCCTGGGTTCGAATCCCGGTTGGACCAGGGCCTTTCTGAGTGGAGTTTGCATGTTCTCCCCGTGTCTGCGTAGGTTTCCTCCGGGTGCTCCGGTTTCCCCTACCACTAAAAATATGTACAATAGGTCTGGCATGTGCCTCCTGTACTGGCACCCCCACTCCCAAAAATAACAATTGACGGTATATAAAAGATTACTTACTTACTACTACTACTACTAATTAGACCTTGGGGTTTCCAGCCCATACTCTGCACAGATGTTTCTGTACACTATGCCAGCCACTTGGTTATGGCGTTCCATGTAAGCCTTCCCTGCCAGCATCTTGCACCCTCCTGTGAATCCATGATGAGTGCCTCTGTGCTGTCCTGTAGACCAGCCCTTTCTAGCCATTGGTAGGACTGAGATCAGCCACTTCTGCTATGCTCCGGTGGTACATGCCGTGTAGGGGCTTGTCCTCCCATGATGGGCTCTCCTCCAGCACCTCCTCATCTCGCCACTGCCTGAGTACGTCATCCGTTTTGGCCTTCTCCATGATGTAGTTATGGAGTTTGGATGTTTCGTCCTGGACAGTGGCTCTCACACTCACTAGTCCTCGGCCTCCTTCTTTACGGCTTACGTGCAGTCTCAGGGTGCTGGATTTGGAATGGAACCCGCCATGCATGGTGAGGAGTTTTCGAGTTTTAACATCCGTAGTCTGAATCTCTTCCTTTGGCCACCTGATTATTCCTGCAGGGTATCTGATCACTGGCAGGGAGTAGCCGTTAATTGCCCGGGCCTTGTTCTTGCTATTGAGCCGGCTTCTTAGGACCTGCCTTACTCGCTGGAGGTATTTGGCAGTTGCCGCTTTCCTTGTTGCCTGTTCGAGGTTGGCATTTGCCTGTGGTATACTGAGATACTTGTACTGTAACTGTCCTCAACGTCTGCTATTGTTCCCTCTGGGAGTGAGATTCCCACTGTGTGGACTACCTTGCCTCTCCGAGTCACCATCCTGCTACATTTCTCGAGTCCGAATGACATCCTGATGTCATGGCTGTAGATCCTGGTGGTCTACAGGGTCAGTATCTCTTTGGGCTGTGTTTCCCGAATACTGTATGTACAGTACGTATGTGTGTGTTTTGCTTTGTCTCTCTTACCATCTGTGGTTCTGTCCTATGTTGTGTTGTGTTACTGTATGTGTCACTGTATGCACTATACAATTATGTATTTCTGAATTCTACAGGATGATATTGTTATAGTAGTGTATTGTGTGTGTGGCGTATGGGATGGGGGTTGGTATTTGCTTCATCCACCTCTTTTTGAATCATGTGCTTCTTATTTGTTGTTTATGTTGCTATTTGTTTATTGCATGTTCCCAAATAAGTAATTGAATATGAATCTACACCTATACCTGAAAAGTATTATTTGTAGATAGATTTGTAAAAAATATTTTTGACGAGTACATTACAGAATGACTGGAGTACATAGCTTTCTCATCCCCAACATAAAAATAAGAAAACTCCACTCACGTGCAAGTGGGCCGCTGCTCTGAGAGCTTGTTTGATCTGCTCGGGTTTGATAGTCATGCGTCGGCTGCGAAAGCCCTGGGTGTTTGCGAACGCCGCTGCTGTTGTTGCTCCTATCGGTCATGACATTTCGTTGGACTTGCCCTGTGTCTGTTTCTCAGCATGACACACAGTTTATTCAAGCATAAGTAGATAATGATAGGCCGAACTCTTAGAAGACATGCATTGTACCTTCCTCAATGACATTTACAAAGACATTTTCGCAAAGTGGCCTTTGTTTCGCTGGCCTGCCTCTCCACAGCTAACCTTTTGGGTGGGATATTTCTCCCAGAGACAACTTCAAATGCTAGAAATTGTGATTTTTTTGTTGTTGCAAGTAATATATATCCATTACATGAATGTTATTTGGGAAGATTAGTAAGTACAAATGAAAATGCTTAGTTATCTTTATGTATATGCATTTTTATCAAAAGAGACCTACCCTGATTATGTGCGCTAACATATAACTTATTTTAGCGGACATAATACATTTTTCATATGGGTCATATGAAATACTGAGCAGCAATGATCTTAATTATTGTAAATAATGTCTTACTTTGTTTTGAGGGCTGCCTAGCAACCAAATCATTAAAATGATTGGGCTATACTCATTGGCACACATGAGCGCTCTGAGCAATCAGCACTGACTGTAGACAACGGCGCTTGCTCATGTTCTCCCATGCTCATGCACAAATGAAAAAATGCAATTCATAGAAAACTGCTGGATTTCAAAATTTAAAAAAAGTTCAGAATAACAAGGAACACTAAATAAGCTACCTGTCGGTTCCCGTTCAGCTGAGGATGAGCCGTTTTAGTTAACATTGAGGTCTATGAGGAAAAGCTCTTGTGAATTTAAGCTGCAGTGCTGCAGGTGGCCTCTTGTCCATGCTGGAGAAGGGTTAATGCTGCAATACCCTATTCACATACTATAAAGTCTATGACTATAATCCACGGGGCTATATGTGTATTACTAATTTCGTTTGCATTCTATAAAAAAACATTTTGTCTCTTCTTTGCGCTGCAATATTAATTTTTGTTTTCTAACAGAACATATACATATACATACATACATACACACCAAGGCCAAGGACATAGTTATCTTTAAAAAAAACATTTTCCAGAACAAAGTAAAGAATTTTAAAATCCTTCTTATGACTCGAATGTTTCAAAGCAGTAGTGGCTCTTTGTGCTCTGAATGTCTCCATAGTTATTCTTACCTCGGAGTCCGCGGGGTGCCTGCCGTTCTCACAATGCCTCACACTTTCTGGGATCGGAGAAACTGTACTCTCACTCAAGCACGGTGCTACTTCTTTTGCCTTAAGTACACTTTTGTCATTGGAATGAATGTGATTCACCTATTGAGAATGTCAGTTCGAGTGGTTCTGAGAAAAGTTCATTGAAACTCAGAGGCTTAGGCTTAAAACCTAAAAGGCACTTGAAACCCAAATGCATTTGTCCTCCGCATGTTTTGTAGGAAAGTTGAATTAGCCTGCTGTCGCTTTGTGAGTAAAGGCTTTTAGTGGCTGCTGGTTGCTCTATAGTGAAAGTGGAATAGGAAATGTTCTGGGGGATGGTTCGCCATCTGGGCTCTGCATGTTCCGTAGATATGACTTGAAGGACATATCTTTTTTTCTACTATTGTATAGCACTATGCTCATTGTCACTGAGAAAAAACAAAAAAAAATCACCAAAAATCCTCAGTTCACACCAACTCCCGGCGATCCAAGATGGCTTCCTTTTCAAATCAATGGCTTGTGCTCAGTGGCATATGTGCCACCATGGGCCCCGAAAAAGTAATTTAGACAGCAATCAAACTAAACAAGTTTATAGGCTGTCGCTTACATGTGGGGTAGATGAAGAAGATTAATTGATGAATATTACTTCACAACGTCACAACGGGCTTTCAGCGCCTGTCACAAACCACTGCTGTCTCTGAGAGGGAAGCTGTGGGAGCTAGCCACACACAATAACACAAATAACAATCAATCACCACATTTAAATGTTAATCGGAGAATACATTAGACATATACATTCTAAACACACGTGCACAGAGGTTTTTAGAATGATCTGTTAACGTCTTCATTACAAAAATACTCAAAGCCACAAAGCGATCGCGGTAAACCCGAAAGTAACTATTAACATGAATTGAACATTTTAGGACACATTGGAAGAGCACCTTATTATGTATTTAGGTTGAGTTTATATTTTGGTCACTTACAGTAGAATTATATAAGTTATATTATCATTTTAATGAATATTTATTGCCTTGTCTTTAAACTAACTGTGTTGTCAAGGTTCACTGTGATAAAGGTGACTGCATTTTGAGAGGTCACTAGGTTATTTTTGCTAACCGTTGCCTTTAATGTTGTTAATGGATGTCTATTTGTCACTAAGTTTGGGTTGTGAAAGTGACTTTACTAAAGTGCAATTTTTGGGTTGTCAGCGGGAGATAAGACTGGAAACCATTTTAGGTTAAAATGGTTGAACTGTGTCAACAAACTAACGGTTTAGGCCTTATGGAATCTTTGGAGTGATATTATTGTGACCATGATTTAGGTGTGTTTTTTTTTTTTGTCAAAATAAACAGGCCTGTAACACAATGGAGTTCAGTGCACGCACGGTCAGCACCCAAAATCAATGGCGTGACCATGCAGGTCCTTGTCTGATTTGTGTGGTTTTGTCCAGGAGAAACTAGTTTTGAACCAGTTTTAACAGTCACTCACCGCTGATGATCAGAATTGTTTGTTCTTTGTTCAGTGTTCATGTGGTTCCACAGCCTGGTGGAAGCTTGATTCGGAGGCTCCTTGAAAAAAAACAACTATATGCACGCAACTACGAGCATTAACAGCCCTTGGCATCACTTGATTGGTGAAAGTGGACGGCATCGTGGATTTTTTAGCTATATCTAAGAGAAGGGAAGGCGGGACTTGCCCGTATTATTATAATTCATAAAATGACATTTAAGACCAGGAGTATTGAGGACCGTGGCTGCCAAAACAATAAATATATACAGAAATAAATAAATACATTTTAAAAAGATAACATTTACAAAGAAATGCATGCAATTATGAGAATAAGTGCATTTATTTCTGTATTTCTGTATTTATATATTTATTTATATATTTATTTATTTCTGTATTTATTTAAATATATATTTATGTATTTATTTTTGTATTTATTCATACATTTATTTCTGCATTTATAAATGTATTTCTCTATTGTTGTATTTATTTTTGTATTTATTTATTTATTTCTCTATTTATTATTTATTTATTTTTGCATTTATTTATGTATTCCTCTATTTATTTATTTATTTTTGCATTTATTTATTTATTTTTCTATCTATTTATTTATTTTTGCATTTATTTATTTATTTCTCTCTTTATTATTTGTTCTCTCTATTTATTTATTTATTTCTCTCTTTATTTCCGAGCCGGCCAAAAACACACACACACACACACACACACAATGCAATTGTTGCATATGGAAGAATGCTTGAGATTTTTATTTTTATTTTTTCGTTCTGACATGGCTGTAGCGAGAACACAGTGATCTCAACATGACCGCCTATGCTGGACAAGCTATGGAGCAAGGAAAAAGATTAACCAATGAGCTTACAGCAGAGGCATCCCGGCCCACCCCATGATTTGCATATCATTAAGAGAAATACGGAAATAAATAGAAAAATAAATAAATACATACAGAAATATATAAATAAATAGAGAAAAAAATAAATAGAGAAATAAATAAATAAATGCAAAAATAAATAATTAAATAGAGAAATAAATAAATAAATGCAAAAATAAATAAATAAATAGATAAATGAATAAATAAATAGATAAATAAATAAATAGATACATAAATAAATACAAAAATAAATACAGAAATAGAGAAATAAATGTATAAATGCAGAAATAAATGTATGATAAATACAAAATAAAAAAATAAATACAGAAATAAATGCACTTATTCTCATAATTGCATGCATTTCTTTGCAAATTTTATCTTTTCAAAATGTATTTATTTATTTCTGTATATATTTATTGTTTTGGCCGCCACGGTCCTCCATACAGGAGGTCAATTTAATACAATTCCTAAAATTTGCAATTCATGTTCCAGACTACACTTTTTGTCAAATGCAAATACAAGGTAAAACAGTTTTTTTTTCTCCAGGCATAAGTGTCAATCAAAGAAGTTCAAAAGGGCGCTCACTCTCCAATAGCCTGACTCTCGCCAGACCCATGTAGTTCGCTGCACTTCACACATGAGTCTGGTACTGAGCCATAGTGGTTAAATTTCAGAAGGCAGGGCCTTGTAAAAAAAAAATCCTTGTATGTGATTGGATAGACCACTTGTCCGTTATCTTGAATGAAGTCTGCTTTCAACACAAAGCTTTCAAAATCCGCGAGAATACCCAAAAAAAAAAAATGTTTTGGCTAAAAACGTAATGTAATCAACTTGGGCTATCATGATTCTGTTTATTGTCTTTCTGTTTATTTAATACCTACAATTCTCTTGGAAAAAAATATGCGGGAACCACCAAACCTGGCAACCCTGCTGCATAGTGTGTAAACAGGAACACTGAACCAGTGCTTCAACCAAACTTTACAGGAACATTTGACTCTTAAAACACACATATATCAACATAGAACCATCTACATCTCGCCTCAAATTGCATTAAAAGTGACATCCGTGTCTTAATTCAATCTATGTATGTAGATGTATTTACTCTTTTAAAAAGATTTGCGGACTTTATGTCCGCCATCTTGGATTCCTCTCGCTGCTGCATGAGAGAAACTTGAGAAGGGAGTGCAAACCCCACGTAACACCGGCAATCCTGATTGGTCGATTAAAAAATAATCTGGGGAAGGCGTTCGCTATGGCGTCGATACCAGACCCATGTGGTTCAGCCAAACGCCTCTGGTGGAGCATGGCGGAACTACAAGGGTCTGGCAGAGCCAGGCTAACTCTCCAATACCAGTTGATCAAAAACAACCTGCTAGGACGCTCAACCTGTTTGGAAACTTGGGACACACAAGAAGCCCCTAGGTGGTGCGATGCCAGGAGGGGTGCATGTGACCCTGGGCTACACTGTAAGAAATGAAATGTTGACTTTACTTAACTTTTTTATGGCAACCGGTTCCACGAAACTGTGTTGTTTAAATTGGAAATGCAAATCACAATTAATTTGAACACCAGATGTTAGATAAAGTATACTCAACATTCTCACTTTACAGTAACATGACAGTGTTAGATTGTATAAGCCCAACAACATTATGTTGGATTTACTAATCTCACATTGGTTCAACCAAACACTGTTAAGTTTGATCAACTTAACAGAAATTAATTATATTTATGTAGTGGGCTTGTGTTGATTCAACAAAACTAAAGTAGTAATGGCTACATTGTTAAGTTAAATAAATACAACATAAAGTGCTTATTTATATTCAAGCTTTTATTTAAACAGGTAATTTCTCTCCACCCATTTAACACATGTACCAACTCAAACATTTTAAATAAAAAATATACAATTAATTAAAAATGTAAAGTGCATAAATGATCCCATATTTAAATCAAAGTAACTTTTCATGAAACACTTTAATGTAAATACACATTGCAGAGCACTAGGAACTGCCTATTAAATGTCTTAAATAATAACAGTGGTTGTGTGTAGTTAATGTTTTCACTCTGAAAATTGGCTAAAGACTGCCAACAGAATTGCTAAACCCCAACAGCTACCCACCAAATGTATGTAGACCAACTAAACATTTGCTTTTAACTTTTACATTTGGGACTAAACTTTGAAATTAACAGCTACTTCCAAATTCTCGTCTGGAGTAAGAAGCAATGCAAAAACATGCAGTGAGTGAGTGAGCAAGTGAGTGTCGGTCCGTTTGAGTCTGTTCGTCTGTGTCTCCATCCGTCTATCTGCGTCCCTGTCTGTCCGTCTGTGTCCCTGTCCCTCTTTCAGTCTGTCTCCATCAGTCTGTGTCCCTGTCTGTCCGTCTCCATCAGTCTGTGTTCCTGTCCGTCCGTCTCCATCAGTCTGTGTCCCTGGCCCTCTGTCTCCACTCTGTGTACCTGTCCGTCTGTGTGTCTAGGTCCATCCATCTGTGTATACTTTTTTCAAAAGAGTACATTTAAGCTAGTCTCAAGAGCACAGCACAACACACATAGTACAGGATGTATATCGAAGAGTCTTTTCAGCCTACAAAGTCCATTTCTTCTCTGTTGCATGTACGGTGTGATATCCACTGATGAAACATAGTCCAAACACATTTTGAAACAGTTAAGTCTTGATTAGATATGTTCGTGCAGTTTGTTTTTCAGAATTTGAACTTTGTTGGAGAGCTTTCTTCTGTCCACTTCCATTAATACCTTTGGAATAAATTCAAAAGTACATCCGAGTCCCTTTCGAGAGTTCATGTCCAGACAGTAGATTAATCCAAGAAGGAGCGGCCATCCAGTTGGAATGTGTTTTAGGTCTTGAAGAACTGCAATGCCATCGATGATTATTCCAAAGTCCTCCAATGAGTCTGATGCATCGGCATGTTGATGTTCCACGATGTAGACACCCAGCACTACTTTCTCAAACTCCTTCTCTGCTCCAACATCGGCATCCTTAAAAGAAAAGAATGGCAGATAGAAAGCTTCAATTTACAATTTAATATTTTCCCATATTGAAATCAAACCCTATAAATCAAGCACAAGGTGTGAGATGGTGACATTTTAATCAAAAATAACGCACACTGCTACAGTAGTTGCATGCTACAACCATTGTACATACGCTCTGACTACCATGCCAAAAAGCATCGCTCTTTTGCACAGCAGTCAACTGCTAAATCTTGTGCAACGGTGAGTGGGTTAAAGTGCGACTAAACACCTGTGCCCAGCCTGACTCCGACCACATGAACATTTGAAAATTCTCTGTAAAAAGGGCATTGCCCGCAGGACCAGGGGACAGGAAGGGGGCTTAGATTTGGGCGTGGTCTGGGCTGTGATTGACTGCTTGCTTGTCAGCTGTCAATTCTGGATTAAAGCAAAAGTTCCATACCAGAAATTCTCATTCCATCCTTGTTTACACACTAAAGATTATCGTTTAGCTAGACCAGGACCAGGACATAAAGAGCACTATAAAAGAAACATTCATGCAGTTTATGAGTTTAAAAAAAGTTGTTTTGGTGTTTAGTTTTCCTTTAAAAGTTAGACTAGCAATTGTGTTTCATTATCATTTAAGGTAAATTATCCATAATAAAGTAGATATTTATCTTTATGTGAATTTTGGTCTTAGCATTATTGGCTCTATGCACATAGTATTCATACTTTAAAATGTTCACTAAGTATGAGTAATAAGTATGAATGTTAAAATATCAATAGTACTTCATCCCTACAAGCCTGTTTAGTGAATTCTCACTCATAAGGGGTCTTTATTAGAACATTTGTCACCATTGTTTATATCGATTATACAATGTATAGGCATTGGAGGCTGGGCAAGGTAGGCCTATGAGTTGCGCTGTTGCATTTTTCTTCAGTGTCTACATTACAAATCAGTTTGTTTTGTTGGTGGTGACAAATCTGGCCTGTTTATATAACTATTGCTATAGCCCATTGCTCCCTCTGGAAAATGAGCAGGAGACAAGTCCAACTGAGTGCGTTGTTCTGGGCTGTCCCCAGGTCTTTACCATCTAATTTCTGCATTACTGCGCATACTGAATTTTTTTTCTTTGTGGCAGAGGTTTATTATTGTTTTTACTGTACTCTTATCATTACATCTAGTTCTGCATACAGCAAATAAAAAAAATTCAACCTCTCTACCTAAAAGTTAATTTTACACAGCCCAGGTTTTAGTTTAACAAATTGGTTTGAAATAGCCATGCAACTTTCTTCATCTATTTAGACTTGGAGATATTTGCGTGACAACATGATTTGAATGTATTTATAGATATCAGCAATGTCAAAGGTGTGCTGAAATAAGTGATAACTCACCATGTAGGTCTTAACCAGGTCCTCGGGGTCTTCATTCAAGTACACGCACAAAGCCTTTAGGATGCAGAGTAGTCTTGTTTCAATGTTGGGTTTCTGTGAAAGACCAATTAAGTGTTCTCGTTATACAGTAATATTTGTGTTACATTTTCAAAAAATATATTGAGAAAAGTCAGAATGTTGGGTTAAAGCTGCACTAACTGACTTTGGGATTTTGAAGCCGCGGACTCACTGGCCTCGCTCTTTCTGCTCCCCTCCCCTCACTCACGAAGCTATCGCCCCCCAAACACATTTACTGTTGTCGACGGAGCTAGCATCTCCCAATATGGATAATACATGGACATGGATTTGCACTTGGACGGCGTGACCATAGAACGATAGAACCGGGAAGCGCAGAGGAACGAGACTTTCTTCTGGATGGCTGTGTAAGCAGTAACCGGTGACGAGGACGAAGTCTCAGATTAGCTCCGCCGCTTGTTGTGCCAACTCAGCTGCCTGTGCTAACGGACCTGTAGATTTCTCACGAAAGTGGGGACCCGAAACACATTCTCTTCCTTGCTTCATCAAAACTCGATCTAAAATATGTCACGCCAGCACAAATCTGCGCTACTTTTTCTTCAAAAGGACGTATATCCCAATGCACTACATGGACATGGATAGCATTTTCGTAATGAATACAAAAATAAAGTAAGTTAGTGCAGCTTTAATAATGCTCAGATTTTTCATGAGAATATGTTCTGTTATGTTTGTATAGAAAGTAAAACTTATTTGACTATCCAGTAAGGTTTCAATGTAAAACACACCTCTTCTAGGGCAGTGTTTTTCAACCAGTGTGCCGTGGTACATTAGTGTGCCTTGAGATGTTGTTTGGTGTGCCTTGGGAAATATTCCAATATCACATAATTGGTCAAAATAATGTGAAAAGAAAATCATGTGAGAAGATTAGAGAGACTTTTTGGGCTCGTTTCATTTTCTATTAATATCTACCTTGATTTGAATGACTTTGCTTTCATACTAAAAGCTACAAAGTTCCATGTTTGTATCAGTTTCAGCCGGTGGTGTGCCATGTGAGTGTCTTCAACCAAAAAGGTGTGCCACAGCTACAAAAAGGTTGGGAAACACTGTTCTAGGGCCACCATAATCTGTTATTTTGCGTCCTGCTGCTCCTCCTTTCTTCTTGAACACCTTCATTAGTTTGTTGGAGTATTGATCCACAGTATGTGCATGGAGACGAGTGTCTTTATCCATAATGATAATGCTTCAATTTGTAGTGTTTAAGCAACAGATACCTCGTAGATAACAGTCTCAGGGCACTCCTTGCACCTCCACATTGAAAACCTGCAAAACAGAGACTGACATTAGAAATAGTTTCAGATTCATTAACTACATTTTTATTTAAAGTAGTAGTCCCTCTACAATTCACCTACACCATACTAATCATGTTTTTGTAGTAACTGCATTAAAGTCTTTCATTTGAATACAAAAAGGTATGCAAATTGAAGACAAACCAAAATAACAAGACCCTTTAATGGAAAATGAGCATGTCCCAATCACCATGGTTTGCCTCAGATCCTGATAAGATATTTAAACTTAAAATGTTTTTAATAATTTGTATTGTAAATTCTAAAAAGTATGGAACCTTTATGTTGCTCGCGTCGTCAAGTAGAATTAAATGAATACTGAAGTTACCACATCAAACACACCCAATTTAAATAATTCTTTAAACACAGGCAAAACCAATTACGATAACAAAAATATACAACCAATACATGTTTTGTTATATTTGTAGAGAAATCGGAAGCGAAAGTCTGTCCACTTAAATAGTCCGGGTGAAAAATGGACCGTTCCGGGTTACCGTGCACGCACTGACACTGATAATCATGTAACACGGAACGGCCCGCTTATCCGTAACACACAGCTCTTCACACCTTAGTTTATAACCTTGGCATAGCCATCATTTCGAGTGAAAACGTAACAATACTGCGCATACGCCTTGTACTGATTGAATGCTAGCCAATTCAATATATTCAACAATATTTAAATAACAGCTTAACAGAATCCATGTCGAATATGAAAGTTCTGATCAATAATCATAACTATGACATGAACGTTACTTCTAACAACAGTTGAGGCGAGAAATACGACCCTTAAGGTCATTTTGGTGATTTATTTAGCGGCATAATGATAGGTTGGACTAGCGGGGAGCTCCGCATGTGGCAGAAAGCTAGCGTTAGCTGTTAGCAGCTATCAGCTGCTGTGTTTGCAGCGCCATTATTGCGAAAGCATGGTCGGCAAGTCACTGTTCGACGCAACTGGAAAAAAGAGAAACTAACACTGTTTACCTTGAATGCCCGAGCTCAAATTATAATGTGTTTAGTTATAAGTAAATCATACATTACCATGGAAAACCTCCGATAGTCTAGCAATGACTATGTTCCAAAATTAACGACAAAAGACACAACCACTATTGAAAATTACACCATACCGTTTCATGCTGTATAGTCAAAGAAGCGTCTTACTTACCAAAATGACGAGAATTTTCGACCACTCGAAGTTGTGTCTTTTCAAATGGCTCTCACTCTGTTCGCGGTCAGTGGCAAGCTCTCGGTTGCAAGGGTTGCCAGATGCGGCAAGATTTTCCTGCCCAAAACCCGCGAGAATCCCAACAAAAAACCACCCAAAATGATATTTTTGCGATAAAAAGTTATGGAATCAACTTAGAATATCAGGATACTGTTTATGGCCGTTTTATCCATTAATTAACTACAAGATACATGGAACAAAAGTATGCGAGGAACCGCCCATCTGGCAACCTTGACAACTACGCATGTCTGCGTCATTGCGTCACAGCGTCATTGCGTACATGTTTTGTTTACGTGAAAGAGTTAGGTTGGTTTTAAACATATGTACTGTTTAGCTCTGAAATCTGTTGCTTTTGTGTTATACCAATGCAATATTGTTATGTTTTCTGTAGAAACATAAGAAACACATTAATTTCACTTTAACCATTTCACATAAAGTGCACAACATCACTCTTTCACTTCTTAGAGTGTACATGCTTTTTTTGCCGTACTTGAATAATGTGAAAATGGAAAATGAGCCGCGGGTCGGATTAAATTGTTTTATGGGCCGGACAAACCTTATCGTGCACAGGTTTGCTTTAGTATCAGCTCAGACTGGATAGAACCAGGGCAATGATGGACTAAAGAATGACATTGTACCAGTTAAACTGGAGCACTAGAAATGCTCCCATGTTGGGGTAGACTAAAGCAGGATAGAGGATAGCAGGGCAAAGTCCGGTTGGTGGATACAGGGCTTCAGGTAATCTTCAGGTAATCTCATGGGGGATCCATGAGATTTCACTTCTCACAATCAAACATACAAAAATAAAGCTGGGATACCAAACTTTTTTTTTTTTTTTTCATAAATAACGCAGGGCTGAGTAAGAATGGCTCTCTTTCACTTATCCGTCTGAAAAATCTGATCCAAAGATGTATGTAAATGTAAATACCGGTGTGAGAAGCAAACTGTTTTGAGAGCAGGGAACAAGTTACGTGGATTTAAATGTTGCTGTGGTTTGAAAGTTAGGCACCCCAGCTTTAAAATATGCAAATGAGACAATACAATTATTGTAAACCAACCACTTTGTGTCATTGTCTGAGTGAGTTGTATTGAGATTCCATAAATGGCAAACGCGTTCATTGCTGATTCACCTTCCAAGCTTCCCGGAGAGGAGCTGTCCATCGTCCTTAATGCTTCACTTAATCGGAAATATACAAGTGCAAACAAATTACATATGACATCTGAAGATTGACGCTCACCCCGGCATGAGGAACACACAGGCTTTTGAATTACTCTCCAATCTGCTGCTTGCTTATTCTCCGTTTGGAAGGGGGTATTTTGACAAGCGCAACGTATGATTTTTACCTCCAGCGAGTTTGTTAAGAGCTGACGCTAAATCAAAGCAGTGCCTGGCGGGGGTGCAAAGTTGGAGAGCAGACCTATGTTTGAAGATTCCCCGCCGGAAGATATTGAATGCAAAAATAAATGCTACCGTCTGTTAAAATAAAGTTCATTTCATTAGAGGTTTACTGGCATACAAATTCCTCTCGCCCTGAGCGGACAATGTTCCGGTGTGACCTTACGCATATCAATTATTCCTTGGCCTTCACTTTATCCACGTGTATATTTGCTGTGATTGTTTGTTGGCTGGGACTAGGTTCAGGATGATTTTAATTACACGTTTGAGTGCAAAATCATAAGAATAAAGCAACCGTAATAGACCTGTTTGACAGTCCAGAGCTGCTTGAGAATACTGTATATCTTGTTATTTCTCTATACTGGCTGACCTGGATGAAGTTTTGGCAGTCACCTGAGCAGCCAAACTCTACCATACAATCAATCAATCAATCAAATCAAATTTTATTTATAGAGCCCTTTACAACACTCAAGGTGACCAAAGTGCTTTACAATAAAATCACATAAAATGCATTAAAAACATTAATTCAAACAAAAATAAAAATAAAACAGTAAGATAAAAAAGTGTTGCCGTGCTACTGAATGTTAAATACTGAATACAATACTATTCTACGTGAATTTAAATGAGTTTCAATCAAGGTACGTATTAGTTAGTTATTTTGACGGCTCCCATTTAGAGCAATAGAATTCTGAAAAAAATCAGTGAGTTAGAGTATTTCTACTTACTTTTCTAAGTTCTAAAACGGGTAAATATAACTGAAATACAGTACAGCAAAAACAATCTGGTGAATAGGTGACCCAATGCAATGTTGCTATGGTAACTCGCACTCGCTCTACTCTGGTAGAAAACCAAGCCGATGCCAGAACCAGCACATTGAAGAAAATGGATTTTAACCACAAAACTATGAAGACCACAAATGCGCATGTTATGCTTCCAAAATGAAAAGCCATCAATTTGACTGCTCTGGAAGTTCTAGTGTTACGTGTCACCAAATCACCAAAATGGTGGTTGTTATTATTATTGTGCATACCGAGCCAAAGTTTTCCTACAATGACGTTACATTGGTGTGTTCCAATGGTTCTGCCTGTTTGATACTAATCCATACCTTACATTTTCAAACAAACTCATTTATTGAATTACTATTTGAATTATTCTTTGTGTTCTGTGTTTGCCTCAGATCCTGGTGCATGTGGGCTTTCTGACGGAGGAGTCGGGGGACGTTTTCAGCCCCAAGGTGCTGAAAGGGGGTCCTCTGGGCGAGATGGTGCAATGGGCTGACATCTTAGCCACTCTGCACGTCTTGGGACACGACCTCCACATCTCAGTGTCTCTCAAAGAGCTGCAGCAGTAAGTCCATTTTTATGAATCTAAAACCTGCTCCATTGGTTGCAACCATGATGATTTTAACTAAGATCAAAATACAGTAATAATATGTGGATGGTTGTGAATGAACGAGAAAAGCACTCGCAGATTGCAGACCTCAGCCTAGAGGAGCAGTTCACCATCTCATGCATGGAGATGGTGATTCAGATCTCCACTAACATTTTTATCATTTTTTCCAATCAAAATATCCATCCAAAATGCTTTTTAAAAAATAAAATAAACGATGTATTTGTTTTCTCAAAATTTGCCTTATATATTTGTTATTACAAAATTTGCCTTATATATTTGTTTTACATTCACAGACAGAACACACATTCTCTAGTACCTAGAGAATTAAAATGTCTAAAGTGTGGAAATACGTTTAATTGCTCATTTCTGAACTTTGCGCTAAATGTAGTTGTAATGTGTACACCTGTATCTATGGCAACGGTCGCCCAGAGGTTTATAAATGCCACGCTTCCACAAATTTGTTCAGAGAAAAATCATGTAGTCTAGTGTTGTCTTTGCAAACTCAAGCTTTCTCTGGCTGCATTTGGTCCACTAACTACAGAGCAGTTAGTGAGTATATATATTAACGCTTGCACTATGCTTCTGTCAAAAAGACTGATCCAGTCCCGTCTTAATCTGGACTGGATCACTGGGAACAACAGACTAGAGGCAATTTTGCACTAAGGCAATTTTTCTATTTAAGAAAAGTTAGTTTGAGTAGTCGTATAGAAAATAGTATGACAAATTACATTTATGCAGTCTGAATGGGTCTTGTTTATATGCTATAATTCAATTTCAGTCAGGGGGGCAGTGCCAATACAACTCAATGAGAAAAATGATATTTTAGAAAGACATTTTTAAAAAGAAAATGTCCAAATGTTCTCCCAGATCATTAACGTGATTAGATTCACAAACGCGCTATATTTTACCCGCATGTCCTCAAGTACTCAAGGCTCTCTGTCATTGAACTCGAAATAAAAACATATTATTTCAAATGACAAAAAGTGCCGTACCGTACCGTTACTGTGGAAAAAACAAGGCAGAAGTTTCATTCCTAAAGAAGTATATTTAATGTTGTCAGCCATTGTAACATTTTACACAGTTTCAACAGTAATACTTAAATATAGGTACAAAAACTAAAAACTGTACTAAATGTTTAATTCATTACAAATTGCTGCCCTCTTACATCTGCCATTTACTCACACAAAGACATGTTAATTTGATTTGGATCAAAATATCTTTTGTTGCTCTCTTTTCTGTTTGCCCGCACAGAACTGGGGGAAAAAAATATTTTGTATTATGCTGCTCCTTCTACATGGAACATGTTGCAAAAAGTTTTTGCAACATGCAACAATTTATTTCATTGAATGCTTTTAGATCCAGATTGAGAGCACTTGAGACATCCTTATTGAAATGTAACTGTTTTTATAATCTGTAATTGTATGTAACTTTTGTCCAGGGCTCCCTTGAAAAAGAGGTTCTAAATCTCAATGGCACTTTCCTGGTTAAATAAAGGTTCTGAAAATCTGAAAAAATATGATTATCTGAAATAAATGAAACATTTAATAATTTATTTCAGATACATTTCTCTGGCGTATCACCAGTGGTATGCTTGAGAATCACTGGATTAATGGGTAGAAAATGGATGGATGGATGGATATCCATAAGAAAATTCCAAACATATTTACAACTTTATTTACACATAAATAGCTCTAAATTAGTGGCAAGAACAAAATTGTATAGACTCCCACCCATGTACATAATCTATAGGCTTTTTGTATATTGTCACCACTTCTAGACACATTCCTGAGAAAGCAATTAGACCATAGTTGACATAAACTGACAACAAATATGTTTAACTTTGTGGCATTTTTTGCTTAATTGGCCCAGGGATTGGAGAAATTAACTCATTACAGAGACTAAAAGTTTGCCTTTAGATCAGGGGTGCCCAAACCTTTTGCGTCCAAGGCCCAAAGTGAAAGTTCCTTTAATTACTGTTTAATAATTAAATGCATTAATTCATGTCTATCAGTGTAAATCACAGCTGAATAAATGAAAACAACTCATTCTCAGTGAAGGGGAGGCTCAAGGGAAATAGGAGGAGCCTACAGTGCAGGAAGATTCCGGTCAGAGAATCAGGGTACAGAGGAGGGAGTTTTTCTGTCGTGGCTTATTTACAGGTTATAATTGTGTGTGTGTGTGTATGTGTTCTGCAATAAAGAACAGACAAATATACAATGAGTAACTGTATGTAGCAACAAGACATATACCTTAATCTTATAACAACCATAAATTGGGTCTATAACGCCATATTAGAAAAACACAGCACTTATATGCTTGCTCCTAAAAAGTTACAGACATACCCTTTAATGTTGGCACAAGACGCAGCGGCAGATTGTCAAATGCACAACAGACACAATTAATAATAAACTATTAATAGAATGAACTTTGAACTATAAATTAGCAGCAAACCAAACATTTGACATTAGAAGGCAAGGCAAGGCACATAAATATCAACAAATCATACATGGTACTTACTTTCTGGCCATTAACGCACACTGACACACAAGGGACCAACGTGAATGTGGAGGCTCAGGCTGCGTGTTGCTCTGACAACAGCTTCGTGCTAAGGTACTTCAACATGCAAAATATAAACCTAACACTAGGGGCGCACTTCTCCACTTGGTTTTCCCATACTTTCCTACAAGCCCAAAAGACTCATGGGGGATTCTCTCAAATTGATTAAACGTAAGATTGCTCAAAAAAATAATTAATAGTAGGCTGACAAAAACAATATAAAGGTGGACAACGTCAGGCGGGCTAAATGAAAAGGTACGGCAGGCCAACTTTGGCCCGCGGGCCCCACTTTGGGCACCCCTTCTTTAGATCAGTGTTTTTCAACCACTGTGCCGCGGCACACTAGTGTGCCGTATGATATTGTCTGGTGTGCCGTGAGAAATTCGTCTACTTTGTCTAAAAATAACTGCATTCGCTGTTGACGAGCAGTGACTTGTTTTGAACTGTGGAGTAACCATGTAATACTTTTTCAAATCAGTAGATGGCAGCAGATAGCTAAGTACTTTGAAACTGAAAAATTGGATGCGACCACTGGCTGTAACAGGTCAGCATTGTGGCGAAAAAGGTAAAATTGGATGCGACCAACAAATGTGGGAGGGAGCGAGACAAGAGCTTTGTGGCGAGTGAGAAGTGAAAGTGATAGAGACGTTTTTGAAAATGAATTATGCCGTTTCTGAACAGGATTAACATCCTCCGCTCTGCCCCGGGGTAGCTGTGGCCGCGTTGTAGTGGTTTAACTATGAAATGTACAATTTTTGTACAACAGCTCTCGCGAACGCACTTCTGAACTGGGTACCGAGTGCAGACCATAGTCGAGTGGACAGAACCACAGACATGCGGACCGGACAGAACCATGGACTCGCGTTCAGGACCTCCCGTGTCCCTCATCCAAAACTCCTGAATTTAAAGCTCGGATACCTAGATTTTTCCCATGCACTAACAATGCATGTTCTTTGTGTGAGTATTATTTGACTATTTGGGCAGAGAGTGGATTTTCTTAGTTTTTTTCCACACAGTTAGTGCCACTTTATTCCCAAACTCTTGTTAATTGTATCGAGAAATATTAAATAAAGCTTAATATCAAGGCCTGGACTTAAGCATTTTGATGAGAATAACTGTATATTGTGAATATAGGCTACAGAGTATACTGTATACATTATAAGATAAGATAAGATATACTTTATATATCACACAGAGTATGTACAGTATATATTTTTACATTAGTACTGTATACATTTTTACGTTTTCACCTGGAGGTGTGCCGCAAGATTTTTTCAGTGAAAAAAGTGTGCCTTGGCTCAAAAAAGGTTGAAAAACACTGCTTTAGATAGTTACCAAGATATACTTTTCAGCTGCCGTCCATCACTATGTTTAACTATCAGGCTCTTTGGAATGTCATGGGAATGCAACCTGTGTCAAATATACATCTTTAATATTTTAGTATGTTGTTGTGACTGTTTATCTTAAAGTTTATCTTAAAGGAATAGTTGTAGGTGGTAGTATTTTTGATTATTTATACTGTGTGTATGCAATTAAATAGAAATCACAGTGCTATTTTAATTGCCTTGCCCTTTATGCTTTAGCTACATTTCCTGACCACTATTTTGATCCATAAATAACAAATAACAATAGACTGCTTTAATTTGTGGCTGACTTTGTTCTTCTGTTGTGATACAGCGCTGATTCCACAGTCTGTGTGTTATCCCTGAGCTGTGAATAATTTCCTTTTGTTTGTTCCATTTGTACAGTGTTTGCCAGTAATGTATCCATGCAATTCTGTTTGTATTCTTTTCATCTTGAGTCGGCTCTCTTCTTTGAAAAAAAAAAAAGTTTTTTTCCTATGCACCCATCATCTAGTCTTCTAAATACAGTGGTCTTTCACTATACGTGGACTATGGGGCTATTATTGTTTCAATACTATTTGTGCATGCGTAAACCGGATTTGTGTGTGCATAAAAAGATTTGTGCGTTTGTAACCAGATTTGTGCGTGCGTAAAAAGATTTGTGCGTTTGTAACCAGATTTGTGTGTGCGTGTACAAACGCACAAATATTATTGAAACAATAATAGCTCCATAGTGGACCACCTTTTGTAGTCTCACTTTGTCGAGGATGTTTCAGTGTGCAATTTTGTTGCCTTCCTACATACAACATCTTATAATCGCTAGTTTAACATGACAGTCACCTTTAATTCAGTTAACAGTGTATGCACAGATTTTTACAGTGAGAGCAGCACTCAGGCCTACGACGAACAGGTTTGATGTTTTGACAATTACACCTCAGCAGTTTTGGGTTCAGGTGGTTAGTGTATAAAGTGTGTGGTGAGAGGTATTGAACCTTAAAACATATAGCTGCTTCTTTGCAGTTTTAAATTATTTTTAGTAACCCCCACAATATACGAGGGA